GGGGGGGAGAAGGAAGAGGGGAGGGAGAAGAAGGAAGAGGGAAGCAGGGCAGGAAAGAGGGGGAGAGGGATGGGGAGGGATGAAGAGAAAGAGAAGTCCCACACGTCCACCATACAGAATGCTCTCAACCCGGAGTGGTTCGAGGAATGTGACCTGTGAGTAGGGAGGGGAGGAGATGAGGAAGGGGGGGGGAGGAGGCGGAAGAGGGAACATGGGAGGAGGAGAAGGGGGTGGAGGTAAGGAGCTGGCAGGGCAGGAGAGGGAAGGAGAGGAGAAGGGGGGGGTTGAAGTCCCACACGTCCACAACACGGAACGCTCTCAACCCGGAGTGGTTTAAGGAAAATGACCTGTGAGTTGATTGGTCAACTGAGGAGGAGAAATAGGAAGGTTAGGAGGAGGACAAAGCCGAGGAGGATGAGGTGGAGGAGGAGGAGACGGGGAGGAAGGGGAGGAGGATGATGAAGGGGTGTGGAGGAGAAGGAAAGGAACGTAAAACAGGAGGGGGGAGGAAAAGGAAGGGGGGTGGGCGAAACGAGAGCGGTGGGGAGTGGAGGAAGGGAACGCAAGTTCAAGGAGGGAAGCGTGATGGCAGGGCAGGAGGGAGAAAGGGAAGAGGGGAGGAGGGGGGAGTTCTTCTGACCGTGAGTCTTAGATCGTGTATTTATAGCCTTTGTGGATGAGAGAGAGATTTTAAAAATGAGATAAATTAACATCAACAAGGGAATAAAACATGACATTCAATCATGTGATGTGTATATGTCTCTTTGGGGGCTCCAGTGGCTAAGTAAGCTGTCAGTTTAGACTCAAGTAGTGCCAAGCAAGTGTCGATGACACGGGGATCAGATGGGTGGTCACTAGGGTGTGTCCTTGAGCAAGACACGACAACCCTAGCTCAAAATACAGGGCGCTGCATAGGGGCGACCGACAGTGGCATGGTTGTAAATTGTTCTGCATTTGTGTGATATTGTGTATTTATGTATGTATTTATGCCTGTATTTAGGTATGTACTTATTCTTAATAATATATGTATGTATGTATATGTGTGTTTGCCATTGTAAGCCAAAGTGCCCTTCTGGGACAAGTAAAAGTGTAATTTATTTTTATTATTTAAAAAATAATTTTGTATGTGTCCACAGGCCAATCCCTCATATGCACACCTCTGTGGAGGTGTCCGTGTATCATCGTGGGGTCCTGTCTGACGACTTTCTGGGCCTGGCTCACATCCCTGTGTGGGAACATAGCATCGCTGAGACGCCACGTAGTCAGTGAGTATTGGTGGAGAGAGAGAAAGAGAGAGAGAGAGAGAGAGAGAGAGAGAGAGAGAGTGGAGTGAGAGAAGAGAGAGAGAGGGGGGGAGAGTGTATGTGTGTGCGAGAGAGAGAGAGAGAGAGAGAGAGAGAGA